ATGCAGAAAAATATTAAACATGTTAGGGAATAATTTGATAAATGGGTTATTCTGATTAATAGAAGATTATCAGAAAAGCTTTAAATAAGATTACTCATTTTCAAGTGTCCTATAAGATCCATCCAATTATGAATTAATTCTTTATAATGAGATTGTTTAGCTTTATGTTTGTTTATACAATACTTAGATGAGAAGGGAAAGTTTAGTTACTCTTGAGTTAGAGTATGTATCTTTGTGAAACTCAGAGTTTATTCCATACTCTAGCCTCTTCGACGTATTCCTTAGTTTCAGTCACAGGTGAATTAATGAAACATTATTGGTTCTCAGACTTTATCTCTATTAGCTTGAATCTTTATTAAATTTGTAAGCTTCATGCCACCCCATCGGAACTGTTTTAATCTCTTATGATGTAGAGTTTTTTTTGTTTATTCTAAAAGTATGGCATAATTCATTTGATGAACATTGAAGTCATTCTGGAAAGACATGTCTTTCAGTAGACTAGACTCTATGCTTACTACTGTTAGGTTGAATCATGTAAAACTGCCATTTTTTGATAGGTTAAAGGGGTCAAATATGGGCAGTTTCATATGGATCAACATAAATATACTATTAATAAGTTCTGTTTTCATCAGTTAGATGATACTTATTGCTCATTTCTCCAAACTAGTATTTTCTTATTAAATATTTTTAGTCTTTTTTCTGAATTGTTTCCTTCCACAACTAATTTCCAGTCTTTGTTATTTTTTGATAGTTAATTTGACTTTGAAAATACAAGATCTTTCACCTTCTCTTGGCTCCTGACATTGTGGGTATTTTGCTTTGGATTAACACTTAAATAAGGAAGAGCACCAAATGGTTAATACTTGCCTCTGAAAGTTTTGCCTAAATAGTAAAGGCCCTATGTTAGAGACTTCCATGAGAATCAGTAAAAGACTTTCTCAAGAAATGTACAGTTTTAAGAGTAAGAAAAAGCGAATGTACCCAACTGTTTTACAGACAATATACTAAGTACCCCTTATTTATTCAACATTACAGTCACTAAGTTCCTCTATGCGTTATGTTTACTTAGTTACATACTGTTTTGATTTAAAGGAAGAAAGATCATATCTAGAGAGGGGTATCAAGAGATGATGTAAAGTCTGAAGGAGATGGCATTTAGTAAAAGGCCGTCATTTAGTGGAAGGGGCAGGAGGTGGCGTGAAACCCAACATTGGCCTTCATGACTGTTACAAGTTATTTAATCTCTCAGCTCAGTTTTTCATTATTGCAAAGATGAAAGTGATACTAGTGGTCATTATTTTTCAGGGGTGGAAGCTTGATAGAAAGGGCTCCAAGCTATCCTTCATTAAAGCAGCAGTGCTTATTATCTTTTATCTATTATGTATTGGGTTACATAAGATGTTTTGCTTGAAGAAAAGTAAACTTCTAAAGTCAGACTTCTAAACTTCAACTTCTAAAATTGTTCATAAACCAGTAAATTAGTTGCATCTAGGTTGAAGTCCTCTTTTAGCTCTAAGGTTCTGTTATCTGAGCAAGCATTGAAGGACAGATAAAATTTATGAGGATGTAATAAAGCAAAGATTAGAGAGGAAATGTCAGTGTTTGAGGCTAAAGTATAGAACTCCTGATGGAGAAGTTGAGCATTGAATCTAGCATATTTTCTCAGTTTGGGAAGCAAAAGGGAGCTTTTGAAGGATTTTGCGTAGGGAAATGGCATACATTTAAACACTGCTCCACAACATTTTCTTTGTTTACTTGTTACACTCTAAAATGTAAAATTCACAATGTTTGCAATTCAATAAGACACTATCACGAATACAAAAAAGTAAATATTATTCACAATAGAGAAAAATATTAATAAATGAAGACTAACCTAGAAGTGACTTAGATGTTAATATTTGCTTATAATAGTAGGAGGATTTCATCCATGTGCATGTATTTATAGAGGAGCTGGCCAGTGTGATGGTTATGACTTACAGGGATATGGGATGTTAGCAGGTCAGAGGATATGCCCTGCCGTTGGGTCAGCTCTACTTAGGGAATCTTGGGTGGTGCAAATGCATTACTGAGCAGCTAGCTCAAGGCAAGATGGGGGGAGTCAACCATGAGGAAAGAGAAGGACCAAGTGGAAGCAGAGCAGTTGCATTGAAGAAGGAAGGGGCAGATACGAGAGAATAGCAGATTGTATCCAGGGTATTTTCAAAGTTTGAATTCTTAGATTTAACCCCGGCCTATACTTTGTCATGCTTCCCTCACTCTCGGTCTAACTCAGTCATTAGGAGAAATAGTACAATAGTTAAAATACTGGCGTGAGTGATGGCTTATGAATGGGGATTTAGTGTTGAGCCCCTTCAACCTTTGAGGGGTCTGTTGTGGGGCCAGGGACAGCTGGAGCCCTGGACAATTAGATCTGGGCTTAGAAAGCCTGTTTTGACCCCCACGTTCAGTAATTCCATTTTCTTATCTGTAGCCATGGTATAAAAAAATGTTAGCAATATTCTGAACTTTTTAATAAAAAACATAGTTGTGTTTATCATGTATTAAGGCAGTGCCTATACAGGGTAAAACAGACATTTCATTACATCTGTTATAAAAACTTTTGTAGTTGGGAGGTATTTTTAGATAATTTTATTTTGCACATGAAATGAAGTGAGCATTTTAAGAGAGCCTTAGATGAAACTTGTGAAAAATAATCTGATCACAGTGTATACATGAAATATATAAAAATGCTTTGAAAATATTGATGGGGACTGGTATGAATGTCGTCAAGCTTCATAACAGTTAATGAAGGATCACTGTGAGTTACAAATGCAAGTTTATTTTCTTCGAGAACCAGCTGAAATTGATCGTCCCTAAAGATAATTGTCCTTTGATGTGATAAAGGAGAAAGAATATTGTTAAGTAAACAGGAAGCATAAGAATTTCCTTTTTAGAAATCTTTTGATCCTGATACATCCTATAAATTGACTTAAAGTACATCTTAGTGCTCTGTCACTCCTTGTGTTATAGTAGATGTCAGATATATTTGATTTTGTGTAGTGGCTTCAGTGGTACCAGAGGAGCACCATCTGTCACTTCTGGTCCCAAGAAGGAAAACCACCACAGAACTCTGGTGGCCCAAGGGTCCCCCTTACCTGTGCATTTCTCTGTCTTCCTGGGCAAGATGAAAAGACTGCACAGACTGACCCATCCCAACACTGCCTTTCCCTGGGCCTGTGCACTCTTCTGTGGGGAAGCTCCAGTTCTTCAACATCATTGAAAGAGGCCACTTGGGAGTCCAAGCCTTTTACTCAACTATTAATGCCATTTGCAAGATCTCATTAAATTCTGAATCCCAGGGAGTTGCATTAATCTCAGTTAAATCAGCCCGTACATGACATTTTCCACCCCTGTTGGTCTAAACACTCTATCTCACTGCCCAGCAATGTTGAGACCTTAACAACTCCCATTTTAGGCCTGGAGGCAATGAAAACTGGTAGGGGTGAGTTCTGAGGAAAATTACCCTTAATTTGTGAGCCATTGGAACTCTTTTAATGAGAGGAGTGGTTTTTCCTTGGAAGGGACACAACTAAAGAACAAACGGATGTTCTCCACCTATTTGTCCACATCCCACATCTCAGGGCTCCACTCCTTCCTGCCCTTAGTGGGAGAGACCTGGAGGGTCTAACTACATCTTTGCAGACCTTACATCAGACTCTACCCTCAGCCATGTGTATATGCCCTGTGACTACTGTGGAAATGGATTATTTCAAAACTGCCAATGAGGACTTAAATACACATTTTTAATTGTATATTCGTAACTTTAATTTTTTCCCTTTCTGTGTCTGGACCATCAGAAGAATCTAGGTGATAATCGCAATTTTCATAACTACTGTTGCTGTAGCAATTAAGTGTCATGGCCTTGGATCTCATAATACCTTGTCTTCCATCTGCATTTCGTCCTGTTCTACCATTGATAATAATTTAATGAGGGTGCTACTACATCCCATAGATTTCCCATATCTTACTATCATTGTGGTCCTTGAATATATGAACAATCCAGTTACAGGAGCCTATTTGAGAGTCTATTTCTTGGTGCTAGTTCCAGTACAATTACTGTGTCTGGGTCAGGAAACAGATGGCATATTCAGAATAATTCAAGGAGGAACTTAGAAAGAGATGCTTTACAAAGAGCTAGGGTGCAGGGAAACTGCAAGGGATAGTACAGTTCCTGGAGCTGGTAACAGAAGTGCACCATGCCTGGCTTGAAGGGAGGAGTGGAAAGAAAGGTTAGCAGAACCCAGAGGGAAAAAGTCTTGAGAGAGCTGCCTTGGCTGAGAGGCACAGCCACCTAGAGGCCACTTTACAGGGAGAGTTGGGAATCTCTAATATTCCTCCCGCCTCCCACCAGGGCTCCCCAGTGGTAGGACTCAGTGGAAAACCAGTGGGCAGGGAGACTCCTGAGGGCAGAGAACAAGGTGTAAGATGTTGGAGAATGGGTGGAGAGGCACACCAATTGTATGAACAAAGTTTCAAGAATGTTTGTCTTTGGCATCTTGTTTACAGCATGATCTGAAGAAGGAAAATCGTATAATTTGATGAGGTTTTCTCAGACTAGAACCAAGGAACTGATCAGCTTGTGGTAGGAGAAAGCAAGAGCTTTGAGAAGCCCATTTTCTTATTTCACATACCCTCCAGGGGAAGAACGACTTTTGTAGGCATCTTAACTGTCTTGTGAGGTCACAGGAGTAATTTGGAAATATTTTAGTGATTGCTCTGTGCCATTCTCAGAATAACATCTGGGCTTGTTATTTATCACCTTTATTAAATAATTTTATGAACTGATCTACATATACATTATATTTAACAATTCAATATAAAAATAAATACTTTGGGATAAATAATTTACGTACATTTTTAGAGCCCTTAGGGCTTACAAAAAGAATCTTAAAAGATCCATATTTATCATCTGAAGACAAAGAATAATAGTTACAAAAGGTAGCAAACCATACATCAAAAAATAAATATTTTTAAATATTTAAATAAATAGCCTGATACATTTTAAATGGGAGGCACTCAAATCAGTGTTGAGAAGATGCTTTGACAAAAGGTAATCCATTTGTTCAGGAATTCTATGATGTTCACCGCCTCATCATTATAGTCACATGTGAATCTCGTTTCAGGTCCCTAAAACACAAGAATTGTAATTTCTTTTTTATTTCAGGGTGGTTTACCTTAGATATAATTATTCTCAATTGAAGTATTACAGGCTTATGGCCTTTATTTTCAAGGAAGTTAAACATTAATCACATTTTCTTGAAATAATCAAATTGATAAGCGAAAATTATGTTATGACACCAAGTGATAGTACCACACAAGCTGAGATTTTCCTCACTTGTTAATTCTGTCAATTTCAATGAACACAATATTTATTCCCCTTGAATTATACATATATTTTTTTGTTAATCCTCACCTAAGGATATTTTTTTCATTGATTTTTAGAGAGTGTGGAAGGGAAGGAGGAAAGGAACTGGGGAGTGAATGAACCTACAACCGAGGTATGTGTCTTTGACCAGGAATCAAACCCATGACCTTTTGATGGTGTGGGGAGATGCTCTAACCAATGAGCCACATTGGCCAGGGCTACCAGGAAGCATTTTAAATGAAAACAGGACTTGACAAATATTTCATTAAATATTGCATGCAAAATCAAGTTCTTAACCCTCCTCTCCTATGGGTGTAAATCTATATAGGTTATATGTGTGCAGTGATATACACATTATACTTTCTTTTTTAAACCTCAAATCTCCTTTTATTCTATTTGAGTGAATCTCTTCATATATTCCCCCAAACCAGATAAAACCAGTCAAGAGTAAGTTAGGACAAGCTTTTGCTTGGGGGAAATTTGTGTGAAGAACAATTTCATAAATACTCATACCGACCCCTACCCCACCTCAGTATCGGTCAAGGACCAACTTTTGAAAGTCTAAACACTGGAAATTTTGTTCTGTGGGCTTTTTGGAAATTAACCTCCTCTGCCATAGGAGCTATTTCAACTCTAGCTGACAAGCTAAAATATTCTGATGTATAGTAAAATAAAATAGGGCTTTTCAAATTTGAAGTAATTCCTATCTTGGAAACATAACCAAGTGGGATAAAGTATTCCCTTTAAATAAGCTATTGCAGTGCTATATACTTTTCTACATATAATTGAATATTATAGCCTCTTAGAGGGTTAGATATTTATAACATCTGGCTTTTGAAACTCAGTCTCTGATTTTCACATATTCTCTTAATTTTGCATTAAGAACTTAAGAGTTAGTTTTCTGATGTTGGTCAAAAATTTTAGAGCATACCTCGACATAGATGAGAGACAGTCTATCAATGTCTAGATGACATTGCTTTCAATATATTTTAAAAGAATTAAATGAAAGAAACAGTCTACTAATAAAATGACTCCTGTTTGGAAACAACTAGAGTTAAGATTTTTAGAACCTTTGTTCTACTATCATTAAAATTATGCTGTTTATTTAGGATACCTATTAACTCATGAATTTTTTACTCTGACAGATGGGATGAGAAAAGAGAGCCATGAATCTGTTTCACATCACCTGAGTCCCTTGTATATTTCATGCTTCCCATGCATTTAAAAATATTTAAGGTTCTGCAAGTATTACTTCTAAATAAGGAGTTAATTATCTATTACATTGGCCATTTTAATGTTTGCTGATTTTTAGACCAACCTCTCGGTCCTTCGACCAGTGGTAGGGAAACCCCATTTAAAGGCCTTTTAGGTAATCAGTGTTGGCCATTCTGGAAAAGGACCTGAAGGAATTTAAAAATATATGTAATGAAACCTGTCTGCTTTCTGTGAAATTCAGTATCTTCTCCTACTTCTAGTGTTGTGTTAATGTGAGGGCTGACAGTGCAGGGTTGGGGGCTTGTCCCCGAGTGGATGGTGCGTGGAAACCCTCTGACTCTTACCCTCACACCTTATACTTCCCAGCTCCACAGTGTATCACCTAACACACAAATGATTCATGTGCTCACAGTGGACTTAAAATGTATGAGCACTTCGCAAATACCAAAAATGCTGTACCACTCTAAAATGCCCCTCCATGTATTTTCTTTCCAGGCGAGCAAGTGAAGTAATGCCTTACCTTCAGTTTCAGAATGAGTACATTGATATTGCTCATTAATTCCTTGATATCTTTCAAGTGAGAGTTTTTACTTTGAGCTAAATTTAGTACTTCCTCCAGAGGTTTGAGGTCTTCTTCTAGACACTGCAGATGTGTCAGTTCCGTGGTCTGTAATAATAAAAATAATTATCAGATCAATTTGCCCTGACTAAAGGTCAATCAGAAAGTAATGTCAAATTTTATTAAGCGTAACTGCATATAGTTTTTACCACTCTCTCTGTTCTCAGCATTATTGTTGAGATGGACCAATAGAGTTTACATAAGACTGGAAAAACTAGAGTTCAACTACCCACAATTAGAATTAACTGTTTGTTAAAAATGAATCATTAATTTCAGCTTAATTTGGTTGTGCAAAAAGTCAACATTTCTGCACCAATTGCAAGGAAAAGATATAGGTTGAATTCTATCCCAGGCTGTATAGAAGTTATTAGGAACAGAATAGGAATGTGGAAGTATGGGTCACAGTCTGTGATTCTAGTGTTTCATGGTTTAAGAGTTGAGAATCAGAGAATGTTAGGACAGAAGGAGCTCTCAGATGCCATTGGTCACAGTCCAACATTTTATAGATTAGCCATTGTAACTGTGTATAGGATTGGCTCTCAAAGTAGCAAGTCATATATAACTGCATCTTAATTGTTTACTATTCTATAATAAATACATTAAAATGCATTTTAAAAAATTATCTGTACCAACCAAATGAAACATTGCAATATTTGAAGGATTTTTGAATAGGCCTCCTGATTTAGACACACACACGTAATGATAATATTTCACACTTCTATGGTACATTGTAATTTCAAAGTGTTTTCTTCTAAATAAGCCCATTTAAGTCTCATAACCACCTTTTGAGATAGGCAATGCAGTGTTATGTCCATGTTACAAATTAGGAATGTAAATCTCAGAATTTGTATTCTCTCCGAGGTCACACAATCAGGAGGAGCCAGGATTAAATTTCAGTTTTTCCTTTATAGCATTAACCTAGCATCCTTTGAGTTAAATGTTTTTATCATTTTCTGAAATCTTTTAGAAACATGGAATGGTTGTAAAATGAATAAGTGAATGGAGTTTATCACATTACTTTTGGTTTCAAACAGATCTTGAGTTGTCATTTAGAAACTGTTAGATTTCAAAGAATCTACCACCCTCTAAACTATGCACACATTTCATGTTATCTTTCTAACAATCTTCAGAGGGAGAGGTAGGACTGCACCACACAGATCTTTCAACATTTTTATCTACTGGCCTCTCAACTTGCTACTGCAAGTTCTACAAGTTTAAGGCTGGAGTTTTCAGCATGAGCAATTTGGAGCTAGTCCCCTCAGAAAAATCTAGAGTCTAAGTTGCTGGAGGCAAGAGATGTGTATCTCTGATTCAGCTGGAGGAGATCTCTTAAGTTATTTCCTTTTCATCTTTCAAAAGAGTAGCTTGAATCATAACTTGAGTAAGTAAGAGGCAGAACAAGGAAACTGTATCTGTGATCCTTTAAATCCCTTTTTTTTTCTGGGCTTGCATTCATGGAACAGGCTTTTCCCAGCCCCAGTTTTACCTGTTCTCTGTTGAACTGCACAGTTGTTAGTCCTCGCTTAGCAATAGGGGTGTGGACGATCTATGCTTATCTAACTACCTGAATCCCAAAACAACCAAATGGAGCTTTTAAACTTGGAAAATGAGTCATATAGCATAAGTCTCTAGGCCTATTGGCATAAAGTTGTGTAAGTCCACAATATTACTTTATGCTCCCCAGGGAGAATTTTGTCTTTACTACTTACTACTAGTAATAGCAAATGCCTGTATGGTGCTCACCATATGCCAGATGCTTGTAGGAGTCCTTTACATTTACTCATTAATCCTCACAGAACTATATGAAGTACAGATATAGATACGAAACTTAGTCACAAAGAGAGCTAACTGCCCAAGTTCACAAAAGCTAGGACATAGCAGAGCTGAGATTTCAGTTCAGATCTGGCCCTCGGGTCTGTGCTATGGATTAGTGCTTCACTGCATCTCAAAGACAGACCCGTAGGGATCTCTCCTAAGACACAGGATTTAATTTAAAGTGGGTTGCTCTGACATCAGTTTTGATCATTTGCATGGTAAAAGTAAATAATAGATATTTCTAGCATTTTACATTTTCAAATAAAGCAGTAAGTCAGCACAATCTTGTTTTAAAACTGTCCCAGCAATAAAGTGAGAATATTATTCTTGTCTTCTTCCTACTTCCTTCGCCTCCAAACACAAACACAAGGATATAGAAAAAATATATAGACAAAACCATTTTACAGAAGCCCCATTATCAAACTTGGGTATTTTTTTTTTTTCAAATATCCAAGTTATTAATAACTTTTTCTCAGGTGAAATGCCATTAATATAATCAGTGCGCAAATTTCCATTTTACTTTGCATCTTAATAAAACACAAAATGAACTTAGTTGTACTTACCTTCCTGGGCATGTAAAATTTAAATGTGAGCATCATGGAGAGCGTGGGGTTCTTGTAATTCTGAGAAAGTACAACAGATTGTTATTACAAAGTGCACTCCAGGCAGAAAAGGTAAAGGGAGTCATTTTAGCAAGCAAGGGATATACTTACTCTGACTATGTTCAGAAGCCGATTCAGATCCAGCATCAATTGCTCCAGCTGCTGCTGTGTTTCCTGGCTGGAGCTCGAGGTAGGTGCACCGTCTGCGATGAATGCAAGAGTTAGTGCAATGCAGGACAAGAAGTGCATCTTGTACATTGTGGCAGGAGGTGAGGTTGCTGCGAGTAGTGATTAGAGAGCTGATAGGGAGGTCTCGAGCAAGAGGAGCAATTTATACTGTTAATTCTGGAAAAATAGCATGGGGGTGTCGAAATATTTTACATATTACACATATTTTCAAAGACTCTACCTGTGTGGCAAAAAGCATTACCTTTATTTTTCCTCTTCTGATGACTCTTTGGAATTTCTTTAAACCCCCGTGAGCTGACTGAATGGATGTAGGTGAAATCCCTCTTGGTTACATTAGCCCACACTTCTGTGGCAGTTCCAATGCATACACCTCACGCCTTCTGTATGAAACAGTTTTTCCTCCTCTTTCATTAAGGGGGTGGGGAGACAAAAGTGGCTCATGAAAATTTTCTCTTTGTCGTAAAACTATGCTGAACATGTGGCTCACCCTATTGTGGACGAGAGCTGGAGCAAATAGTTGAAAAGAATAAATGTTTAGATTTGTTGATTAGACAGGAAGAATATTGGTTTCCTGTTTCAGGATGGTTTTGCCTTTTTATCTAGACAATGCCTGAGCTAATGTGTACAACATGATAGATTACTTCTTCCATAGTCAGCTAGAGAAATACTAAGATTAGGATGCATAACGTGCTCATTGATCTTGAGATACTGTTTTCTGCTCTTTTAATTTTAACATGTTTCTTGTATCTGTTTAAACCTTACTGTCTGTACTGTACTTTTTAAAAACATGTAGTGTTCAACAAACAAATACTCAGAACACGTTTTGCAGTCAAGGGTACTGATGTTGTGTTTGTGTGTGTGTGAGACAAATTTAATTTTGCTCCTTTACTATTTTTGCTGAGCATCAAGGGGATATAACAAGAGTTGTAATGTTGCCACACCCAGGAATACTTTTCTTCCTCTCAGTTTCTCAGGGACCACCTCAGCTATTAGATGCCTCTCGTCCCCCATGTACATTTCATTTCTTTCTCTCCCCTTGCTCTCTCTGCCTCACAGATTGCTTATATTTCTTTCCATATGAGGCAAAAACAAGCATAACAATAGGGATCCCTGTTTGTCTGTCTGAAGGAAGCTTACTGACTGGGATTTCTGGGTACCATTTGTACATTCTCTAGGAGAAAGATAATAGGACCTGACCACATGCCCTGTATGATACTAGCCCAGTCAGTGTGGCTGGGGTGAGGAGGGCATGGTAGTAAGTAGTCCAGGAGGAAATGGTGGACTGGGGGGGAGGGCGGTATCTGTGTGTGCGCCTTGTGGAGTGAGAGCAGTCCTCGGAGCAGGTGTACCTGGGCTCATTTATTCCAAGATGATGTTTCTAATACAGCAGCAGCGAGAACTTAGTAACAGAAGTTGTTAAGAGGGACATCCATGATCATTCCTGGAGCAGCTTTATGGAAAAATGAATACACTGCTACAAACAACTGTGACTGATGGACAAATACAGAAGAGAGTTTGCATTCAAGCGTACAGATACTAGTTTTATAAGACTTTACATGTGTCATATGGAAACTGATCCACATGTTTCTAGTTTTATGTTTTCACCTCTTTAGTAGATTTTCATTTATCCTCTAAAGCTCCTGGGACACTGTGAGTGTAAAAATAATAGCTATGAAATAAGGTCAGTATTTTTTAGTTAGTAGACTGAGGAGGATACTCAGGATGGTAGTTAATTTTTTCTCAGTATAATATACTAACTGCCTGAAGGACGGGATAGGTCTAGACTTCTAATTTCAACTGGAGAGAACCCAAGATAAAGTTTTACCCTTTCTCAAAGAGATTACTTGTAACTCCTCCATTTTTTAAAAAAGTTTTTTTAAAAATTGACTTTGGGGGAGAGAGGAAGGAGAGGGAGAGAGAGAAACATTGATGTGAGAGCATAACATCGATCGGCTGCCTCTTGCACTCCCCTTAGCCTACTATTGGGGATCCAGCCCAAAACCTGGGCATGTGCCCTGACTGAGAATTGACCTGGCAACCCTTTGGTGCATGGGACGACACCCAATCAAATGAGCCACACTGGCCAGGGCTAACTCATCCTTTACTTCCATACTCATTTCATGTCTACTCTTTAAACAGATATTTATCTAGCACCTACAATGCCCACAGAAGGGGAGAGAAAAAGCCCAGTGTGCTGGCACCAGTCTACTTGAACCTTACAACGACCCTGGTGAGGGAGGCTTTCTGTTTTGCAGATTAGAAAACTGGAGCTTGGAGAAGTTATATAACTTCTTCTGGGTCATTCAGCCCTTTCTGCAGGAAAGGGCAGAACAAGGTTTTGAAACCAGAACATTCTGACGCCGAAGTCCACTCTCTTCCATTTGTATTCTTTCTGAAAGAACCTGAGGTGTAGCAGGGCAGATATGCACATAGACAAGTGTAATCCTGGGTGAAAGGCCATTGAGGCCTCAAGAGAAGTGGATAGAAAGAGTTCTGGAGAAGGAACAGACCTTAGAGTGGATTTTGACCACATGATCAAACTGTGGCCATGGAACTTTAGGGTCAGGAGGGTGGGGAGGCAGGCAAGGTTAGGCCCTCTAAGGGACACTTAACAAATATGCTTGTTGCAAAGAACAGAGAAACAGTGCTATTTACCTAGGCATTAGGCAATATTCTGAAGAATAGAAAACATCTTAATAAAATTTAAACAATTATAGTTCCTCACATAGACAATAATGAAGGAAAGCCAGATTAAAGACAAATCATTTTTTTATTTTATAAGAGAAGACATGAGTTAGAAACAAATGATCATGATCTTTTTTTTTTTATTACTAAAAAATGCAAAACACCTCTCTGCGCCTTTCAAACCAAAACCACAAAGTTAGCATTAGTTCTAAGGGAAAGGCTATTTAGTGATCTTGTTTCGTTTCTCTAAAGATTTCAGTGTCTCATCCCAGCATCATCAGCTCAGGCCTTTACCCTTCCAGAATGAAAGAACTTGAGCCCACACATTTCTCCGTGTGGGGGCTTTTCCAATGAGGCCTTTGATGTGCTCAGAGTCTTGATACTTATATTTCTCCGGCTATTTCCATTAGAGAATGGGTCAATATGGAGATATTTATGGGACTCTGTAGAAATATTACTATTGCATAATCGGCACCATTATGGAGTTTGGCCTTATTTCTTTCTTGAAATGCTTGGGGAGAAAGCTCCCATATGGTGTGGATACTTTCACTTTTTAACATGTCTGACACATGAGCTGGCCTTTCTGACTGTAGTGGTGACAAAGGCAGCAATAGACTGCTAACTACCTCAAGTCATATCCCTACTTACCTTTTGAAAATACAATTTTTCTGTTCAGTAAGAAGCTATTTTAGTTGCATATTAGCATTGTTTGTGACTCAGCCTCTTTGACTCAAGAATAGCCCGAGTTCTGTAAAAAGGAAATTCCCATCTCTGGAGCTGCCTGTCAAGAGGCTGGTCAGTGAGTCGTACATGTTGTCCATCCATCAAAGCTCACTCTCCAAGACTTCGACTCCTGCAAGATTCTTCTTTCCACCCCCCTTCCTCAGCTTTGTAGAACTTTAACTTGGTCTGGAGCTTGATGCCTGTATCATTGCATCTCTTAATACTTTCTCTGTAGGCCGCCTAGCTTTTCATGATAGAGTTCTCTCCCTTTGACATTAGGACATAGTGTTGGGCAATCTCTGTACCGCCCCGAGACAATTCAGGCAGGAGCTATGTTTCCTGTGAAATCTGCATTCCCCCAAGCACAGGTTGGTGCCCAGTGTTTGTCTCTGTGAGCCCTGTGGTCCTCCATAAGGTGATACCACTCATGGAAATCTATCTCGTTCATGTGAGCTCTCCTGTGTGGTCAGTTTTAATGGTGTTCATAACCTTTGGGATGGAAGAATGATTTATTCCCTTGGTACTTGTAATTTTGCAAGTGTTTTCAAATTCATTCTCCCATTGAGTCCCCATTTTATCGGTAAGAAACTTGATGTTTATAGAGGTTGAGTAACTTGCCCAAAATCACATTCTTAAGTTAGAGGTGAAGTTAGAGCAAAAACCCCAAGCCTTCCTGGCTCTCAATGATGTCATATATTTTCCAGGTAAAATACTGATGCCAAATTCTAGGCCCAGGAGGCCCCATAGAGAAGGCTGGATGAGATTGTGCCTTCTAACCCATCTCACTTCACTCCCTCAGCACCGCCCACCTTCACCTCACCAACCCCTCTAAGCAGCTTTAGGAATCTTAAGATTCCTAAGAACTTAGAGCAGCTGAATTTACACAGTTGCTACAGAAGCAGGATTTTGCTCATGTTTTGAATCTTGTCCTGGGGTCTTTTAAAAGCACTAGGGCACTTGATGTTGTCCTAACACTTGTCCCATATCTAAAGTAAGAAAATAGTGTGTCCACAGTGGATTGAAGCTGTCTTGTATTTAGGAGTGCAGAGCTCTAAGGCCGACTTGGGGATGTCGCAGTAACCAATTGTCTGCACTTGGGAACCAAGGGCCACCTCACTACGTGCATGTGATGAGAATGGGAGCATCTTCAAAACCTTTGGAAGTGTTCTTTTTGTGTCAGTATAAGACCCCTGTGACAAGTCACACAGCAGTTACCAGAGGCAGAATGTGATAACCTCCTGACAGTAATAGTAATAGATTTGTAAAACACTTCAAGTTCATAAAGCACTTTCACATCCATTGATCTCATTGTAAGGCAGAATAGTTAAATAAGTTTCCTTGCTATAAGTACTTCATGAAGAACTTAAATTTCTTCACACATTAAGAACTAAGCCGAGATACATGTCATCATTAAAATCTTGTGAAAATAAAGTCATTTACATTTAAGTTTACATTCATCTAACTGCTTTTCCTGCCTAACTTTGTTTCTGAGTTCCCTATGGACCATGTGCTCTTTCCTTTTCTACAGTAGCTTTGGATGTATCACTGACCACCCATTGTTTATCATTCCTAATGTCAAAAGATAAGCTGAGGCATATTAAAAATTTTAAGAGTTTATTTTGAGCAAAAATGGATTCTAATTGGACAACATCCAATCTGGC